ATTTTCTCTTTTATTTTCATAGCATTACTGCAGAAGGCAATGGATCCACCCGATCCTGATGTTGTTGAGGATGCACTAGATTTGCTTGTTCAAATGCGTACTCTGGAAAAGGGATCTTCTAGGTCACGTTATGAGCCTACCTTTTATGGACGCTTGTTAGCAAGTTTCTCTTTGTCATTTGATGCCTCTGTACTAATTCTTAAGTTTGGAGACATCGGAATGATACGTGAAGGCATACTTTTTGGTATATTGATGGATCTTCAGCCTCTGCCTATTTTGCGTCTTTTTGGTCAGGACAATCAGGTGGCATCTGGTTTTTTGTTTGAATTTATAATTTATCGTGTCAATTTTAAATAATTGACTGACTGGGTTTGTTTTAGTCCTTGGAGTACACTGATTATTATTATAATGGAGCTAGTAAGATTACTGGGCTCGGAAGAAAGGAGGTTTTATATATGGCCAACTTTTGCGCGTTTCATTTTTGGCAGCGAACTTACAAAGTGAGTTTTTTTTTTTTTTTCCCAAATTTTGTATTAAGCATATGATGTTTGACATTACTTTCTACAATTATATCCTTATTTGATGTTGTATATATAGGACAAGTGGCGGCTCGCTCAACTGTTCAAGCTTGATGAACCAGAAGAGACGCGAATTTTTCAAAAAATCGAGGAAGAATGGTGCTCATTTCACAAACTTGTCATGCCTGCCCTCGAACAAATTATTGAAACATGTACGATCTGTTTAAGCATTAAACGGTTGATTTTGTGAAAGAGACAAAAGCCATTGTCAAATATTCTTAACTTGGAAAGCTAAGAGCATGCTTGGGTATGGATTTTCCCAAAAAACATTCAATCATTTTTAACCAATCACTTTTTTTTTTAACTCATATCTAACTCAAATTTAACTCAAACCCACTATTCTCAATACTATCAAAATAATTAAATAACACAACTCAATTATTCTTACACATTACATCAACTTTAATTCAAAATTCATCCACTCACATAATTTTAGCTAACATCACTTCACATCATCTCTCTCCTACTTTTACATCAAATTAACTTTAATTATTCTATTTTAAATATTATTTTAGTATAAACTCAAAATCATACTAACAACTAATCATACCACATTTTTCAAAATTAACCAAACAAAACCAAAAACACCAAACAAAATCAAAACATCTTATATCCAAGCATCCCTAACTTTCTTTTTGGCGATTTAGCTAAACCTTATTTCAGCAGTATTTTTGTGACTAAACCTTTCATACGTGGCAGATGATGATATTCTAAATATTCTTCATCGATTTCGACCAAAGTGTCTGGTAGAATCCAATGGGCCACCTGTTCATTACGAACCATACGAGTTTCAGCATACATGTCAGCTTAAGGGCGTACCGAATCACGAAGCTGATGGTTTAGCTCTAGCTGATGGAGTTGATGATGACGTGGAATGTAAGGAATGTGTTGCTGTACCATTTGTCGGGCCATATGATTTTCTGAAAGATGAGCTGGCAACAAAGTTTGCATCAATCGTAAAAGAGGTGCTTTATAGTTCTCAAGGTATCTGTTTCTTCTGAAATGAACTCGATGCATTGTTTTTAATTTTTTTTTTTGTTTTTTTGTTTTCTGTTTTTTCTTTTTTTTTATGTGAGATTAGATGAGAATTCAACTTGCTGGGGTTGTACCAAGTAAGCCGAATATGCAAACTTTTGAAAATGGACACGGGACTTTAGGAGGTGCGGCACTGTGTAGATATTTTGTGAAGGGTTTATGCAACAGGGGAACTCAGTGCCCTTTTTCCCATTCACTCCAAGCAAAGAAGCCTGTTTGCAAATTCTTTTTATCTTTGCAGGTACCTATTCTACTTTTTTTCAGCATCCCTATCAATTGGAGAATGTCTTGAATTATTATATTTTTTGATTCATTACGAATCAGAATTCATTTTGTTGTTTGATGATGCTCATATGCTTTAGAAAAAATCCCTGAATGACTTTTATCCTTCATGACAAAAGTTGGGTTGTAAATGAATCGAATCGAAGCAAATACTCGACAGTTCGATTCGAATTCGTGAAAAATATTCGACTATTCATATTCGTATTTGATTCGTTTTCGAATTTAATTTTGTGATTTGTATTCGATTCGATTAGGACAATCGAATATATTCGATTCGATTTATAATTCGTTTTCAAATTTTATTCATAAAAATCTATAAGTATATTTTTATATAGTATTTTAAATATTTTTTTAATATAATATATATTTTTAAATAGATTTTTTTTTTTAAATAAATTAAATATGCTTTCTTAAATATAAATATATCTTTTATGTTTTATATTTATATTTGGTATATTTATATGTGTTACACAAATAAAATCTTGTACTATATATAACATATTAAACTTGATATAATTATTATTAGCTAGCCGAATATGTGCATATTCGGATTCGAATAAATTTCGAATACTAAACACTATTCTTATTCGAACCCGAATTCGAATTTTTACGAATAGAAATCACGAATACCTAATTCGTATCACGAATCGGATGAAAAATGTTTGATTTGTTCACAACCCTACTTCACCTAATACAATGAAGATGATGGAACTTTGACTTCAATTGGCCTTGGCCTTTTCTTTTCACTATCTTTAGTTTTTAGATCCAAAACCATGTTTAAAACCAAAATGCAACAACCACAGATGCCTCCCCAGAAGTCCTTGTTTCAATACTTTATGTTGGATTCACAATTAGATAACAAATTTGCTCTTTTATTCCAATTTATTTTAGTATTAAATACAAAATGACCACCATATGGATTAAAATTCAGTTATTTTGATACATTTTTCGACAGGGATGCCGAAATGGAGACTCGTGTTTCTTTTCTCACGAGTCCGAATTGCCCTCCATATCAGCTAAAGAACCTGGTTTTTGCTCCCCGGAAGATGGGCAAATTTGTCCCGAATCCCTTCTTCAGTTCTTTCCCAATCCTTCATACGGACGAGTGATTATACTTGACGACCCAAATCTTCATTTCTCCTCTAATCTCGCCCGTCAATACAACCCGTCTGCTATAATCTCCACCACTTCTCAAGTGAATGCCTTCTCGCTCGACTCTTCTCTCAGGGGCATAAACGTCATTTGGGGACTTGGCCACCCTTATCAGACAATCCTATCCAAGGATAATGATAACGTTGTCCCGTGGAATGACGTGAAGTGCGCGTTGTGGTTTCCTAGGTTTGGTGATGACGATGAAGGACAACTGAAGAGCAAGCTACGAGCTTTCTTCCATTGTCTTGCGATTCGTATTTTGGCGGATGCTCTTCATGAAGTGCAAGTTGTTCTCACCATGAACAATATTCGTTTTTCAAGATTACAGGTACAGAAAAAAATCAACTTTTTTCTTTTCTTCTTCGAGGCTAACATTTTCAGCATAGTACCCTTAGGCTAAATTTTTGTTGGTTTACGTAATAGCAATTTTAGTCTCAAGATTCTTCGCCTTATTGTCCTGTGATTTAATACTTTGCGGCAATTTGAGTCTTAATTTTTTTTTTTTGGCTGAAATTGCAACAAATTCCAAATTTATTAGCAATGTAAGTCCTATAATTTAAAATTATGTATTTTTAATTCTACTGGTTTAACGTCATAGCAATTTTATCCCCAAAATTCTAACTTTTCGCCTTTTGGTTATGTGATTTAATATTTTGCATCAATTTTAGTCATTTGAGATTGAATTTGAAACAAATTTTCAAATTTATTAGCAATTTAAGTCCTATAATTTAAAATATTGTTGCAATTTCAGTCGTGTAATTTGAAATTTTGTCGCAATTACAATCCTTCAAATGACTGGAATTGCAGCAAAATAATAAATGACAAGATCAAAAGGCGAGAAGTTCGAACCTTGGGACTAAAATTGCTATGACGTTAAACCATGACGAAATGCATTTTTACCAGAACATTTTGCCCAAACATTCTTCAAGAATCGAAAGGACCATCATGAAGTTAATCTTTGTATATGAGAAATTGCTTCATCGATAGAGGATATTGTTGAAAATACCTCCATTCTTGTTACTTACTATTGTTTCTATCAGGTGGAAAAACTGGCCAGGGACAGTTTTTTCGTACTTAAAGCGTCGGTCCCATTTGACGAGTCGAGCTTCGGGAAGCTGTTAGATGAGTTGACCACCAAAAAGTCGATGTTAGAGTCAAAGCCCGTTTCGTATATTTTCGATCTGTATCCTCCCATGGACCTTCAGTTTGGCGACTACACACCTTTACTCCGCCAGCATTTACAAGACGTGTCGGGAGAGTAACATGCCTCGAGAAGGTTCGAATTGTATTAAAGTTTAAAGACAAAGGCTGCTAATTATGAATTTTGAAGTGGTGTGAATTTGTGCTTTCCATATTTATTAGTTCATGGCTGCTGCCCATTGCATTTGCAGGTGGGTTTATGGATAAATAATATCTTTTGCATGTATAGTGTGGTGTTACATTCTGATGACTATTAAAATTTTCCGTTTGGCTAATTATTTTTTCTTGTTTTTTGTTGTTACTGTTGAATCTGTGTATGTTTTTTCTGTCATTTTACGCTGTTTATTATAATTTTTGAATATTTTATACAAATATTCGGTCATTTGATATCAACCAAAAAACAAATCATTCAAATCAACCATTTATGTTACATTCTGACTATAAAAGGATTTTTTGTACTGTTGAGTTGATGCACACAAGAATTTGTACTTTGACATTTTTTATTTTTTTTTAAAGATTTTTATTGGTGAGTTGAAATGAATTATTGGATTTTGTATCAAAATAAAATGAACTAAGTTGAAATGAATTATTGGATTTTGTGTCAAAATAAGATGAGCTAAGGTAGAAT